TCCCAACCCCCCTGCTGGCTCAGGTTACAGCTCAGGTAGCTTCCTTCCCATCCCCAATGTAACTCCCCTGCAACATTCCCAGGTCAAATCTGCCCCGCTCCCTGCTCCGTCACACACCCCCAATAATGGGGGCTCCTGGGCACCAAGGAGTTTGGAAAATCTGGTGCCAACTCCCTACGCAGCCGTCTGGCCATGGTACTTCTGTGGCCCCTGTGACGAAGTGGGGGATTTTCTTGTTTTTTTCAATGGTCTGTGTGCAGAGGGGGTGGAACTCAGTTTCCCTGGGTGTTACTGGTTTAACGAGGTGAGGGGAGAGGGAGTTTGTTGGTATAGAGGACCAGCGACGGAACTTGGGACCCCGGCCAATGGCCTAGAGAATGGAGACCCCAGCAACTGGTGACCTGGTGTCCCAGCTCGGCCATGACAGCTGGTTCTGGCCAGTGGGAGAACAATGGGCTGGGGAGAGAGGACCCCAGTGACCTGACCAGCCGGTTCCAGCCAGAGGGGGACAGAGGGCGGATGAGAGAAGAGGCGGCCCTGTTTACCTGGACACAAGACAAAGGACAGAGGCAGGGCTTGGGGGCAGGGGATATCGGATGCCCAGGTGGAAAACGGGGGTCTCTGGACTGGGGAGAGAAAGCAGGCAGAGCCCACCTGGATGCAGGGAGACTTGGATGTGCTGTGCTGAGGGAGGCCAGGCCTGAGGCCCTGAGAGTTTCCTATGCTGTGTTCAGACGCTCAATAACCCTCCTGTTTTACGCTGGCTGAGAGTCGCTCCGGTCTAGAGAACAGGGGGGCATTATTCCCTCTGGGAATGGAGGCCCCGGGGGTCCAGAGTGAGTGGACTCCCTCAGGGGGCCCACGGCGAGAGACAGGCGAGAGGTGCGGTTCCAGGAGGCAGAGGTGCTTAACCCCTGGGAAAGAGTGGACCCCCGAGAAGGGCTGTCTCACTGAAGCGAGTTCCCCCCAGGGACCGTTTACGGCCAAGAGTGGGCATGACCTGGGAGTCCGTGACAGCCCCCATCACCACAGCCTGTGAGCGATTCCCTTCTGTCAATGGATTTAGCCTCACAACACCCCTAGGGCTGTTACCCCCCACTGTGCAGATGGGAAACTGAGGTACAGAGCGGCAAAGCGACCAGCCCAAGGTCTCGCAGAGAGTCTGTGGCAGAGCAGGGAATTGAACCCAGGATGCCGAAGTCCCTGCCTCATGCCCTCATCTCCCTCTCCATGTGTAGCCCTGCTCCAAACGGGGTTCTGCAGAGGCCCAGGGTCCACCCCATGCAGACTGCTGCAGGCCCAGGGCCTTGCGTTGCCTGTCCCTCAGAGGGAGCGGAGCTGTGGCAGGGTTCTGCAGACAAACCGGGTTGTTCTCTGGTATGTGCCCTCAGTGCTCAGACACCGATGCTCTGCTGCTTACCGGGCTCAGAGCTAGCAGGGTTTTCCTCTTGACGTGTGGGTCGTTATTTTGCGCAGGGCAGCAATGGGTTTTAACCAGCCATGATGTCGTTATCTGTCGAGTGGCAGCGCCTGGGAGCCCTGGTCATGAACCAGACCCACCCCCCCCCCCCCCCCCCCCGCCCGCCCCCCCGCCCGGGGGCCCCCGTCCTTCACCCGCCCCCCCCCCCCCCCCCCCCCCCCGTGCCAGGCGCAAAACTAAAAGCCAAGGCAGCCCCTGCACCCAAGAGCTGACGGCCTCTGTACCTGCCAGATGATGTTTCTGCCTCTTTCAGAGGACTCGGCCCCCAGGTTTGCTTTGTTCCAGCTGGCTTGTACCTCCCCCCCCCTTCCCCCACACGAATTGCTAGCGAATGCAGCGGATTGATTAGCCAATTTCTTTTAACTCCCAAGAACACAACTCGGCCCGGCTGCTTTATACACATTGTGTCCATGCTCCCGTCCCCATTCTCTAGCCACTGCTATTTGGGTATCTGCCCACTTTCCCTCCGGGTGTGGGGTGTCCGGGTGTGTGCCTTGTGTTACAGGCAGGTTTAAAAACCCCGTTCAGTAGCTCAGCCTTTTGGAGCCCTTGTTAATTTCATTACCGGAGTGTGAGAGTTTGGACAGCGCTGGATTAGGGCTAGGAGAGCGGGAGGGGTTTATTTAGCCAATCCCCGATTAACACACTTTGCTGAGCGTGTCTCTGAGCAGCCTGGATGAGTTGCACCCCATGAGACGCAGTGGCACTGGAATGCCCTGGGTGCCTAGCCATGAGGTTTGCTCCAAGGTGCACTGATGGGGCTGTGTTGGCCTCACGTCCCAGGCCAGTTGGAGAGCAGGGATCTGACGACCGCCAGAGCGGGTTGGTACCTACTTCCAGGAGATGTTCCTCTTGGTCCAAGCCAGGCCTACGCTCCGCCTGCCCCGACTTTTCCTCCTCTTCCGCCACAGCCTCCCATTCTTCCTCTTGGGCAGCTTTTCCGGGAGCACATCAGGCAGCGAGCAGCGTGGCATCCGGATCAGCGCCAGTGTGGCATCGTCTGGGCAATGCGGAGGGAAACACAGGTGCGTCACCGGCCGGCAGGTCAGAGCGCCGCCTGGGACACAGCAGTGCAGCGAGCTGGCAGTTCTCAGCTGGGGGTGAAGCGAGCCCTGCAGGCAGACTGCCTCTTGGAGAACAGCCTTAGGGGAGAGCCCACTCTGCACCCACATGGACCACCAGTGCCTCTGAAGGAGTGCCCTGTAGCTATGGCAGAGCCCTGGGCTGGTGTGAAGGGGGGCACTGGCTGGCTCATGAGCTGGGTCACAAGGGCCCTGCTGAGCCTGCTTTCCCTCAACATCCAGGCAGGGGCCCCAGCAATGAATCCTATCCAGGGGGCCCATGGACGGCATCTGGGCCGACAGGGCAGCGTGGCAGGGGAGGGTTAAAGGAGCCGGAGTCTCCCAGCTGAGAGGTGGATCCTGGACCAGACAGATGGAATTCGGGGGTTCCCTTAGCAGAGCAGGGCGGGTAGCCGCTGGGGGCAGGGATGGTCTGATGCAGAGGGGTTGCCATGCAGACGGGAGCAGGTTGGCAGACGCAGGAGGGGCTGGTGGAGATTTGAGAGAACCAGGAGAGGAGCCCGTAAAGGGACAATGTGGGGTTGAGGTGCTGCCGGCAGGGGCCAAGGCAGGGTGTAGTGTGGATGATGGTTGGGCTGGGGCTGCAGGCTGGCCTGGAGCACTGCAGGTTGTCACAGGGCTGCAGGCAGGGATGACAGAGGGGCTGGGGGCTGCAGGCGGGGACGATGGAGGGACTGGGGGTTGCAGGCAGGTGCAGGCTCTGCATACCTGGGATCCCAGTCTCAGGGATGCCCGCGAAGCGCTGCATCACACGGATGGCGTTGGTCACCGCTTCCCAGGTCTGGAGCTGGCCGGTGACGGGATCGGCGGGGGGAAGGTAGCCATACTGCGTCAGCCAGGCCTGGCAAGGGGCGCACACACACGGGAGAGTGATACCGTAGCAAGCACCCAGCCCGCTCGGCTTCTTGGAGCCGCTGGCTCTGGTGCCCCACCTGAGACACAGACCAGCCGAGCTGGGCACCCCAGAAACTTTTCCCCTCAGTGACCAACTCTCCAGGAGAGCAAAGGCCCCACACCCTTCCCAGTCCGGGTTCGAATCTCGACTCAAGACAGTGTCACAGAGTGTGGGGGAGTCAGGGCCCTGCACCCCTCTTCCTGGGATTCACCGTGACTCTCAGCCATCTGGGGGGCAGGGAGCTTACACCCCAGCCTCGGGGTTCCCTTGGTTCCACCACCCAGCACCAAACTGAAACTAAAAACTCCTCCAGCAGCTCTCCCCCAACCCCCCGCTCCTCCTCTCCTTTGTTCAGTCTCCCGGCCAGAAGGTGTCACTTCTCCCAACCCCCCTGCTGGCTCAGGTTACAGCTCAGGTAGCTTCCTTCAAGAGAAGCCCCCCATCCCCAATGTAACTCCCCTGCAACAGTCCCAGGTCAAATCCGCCCCGCTCCCTGTTGCGTCACAGACAGAAATGCCCATTTGTCCACACGTCATGTCCACACCGAAGTGATGTGCCCAGGGCTGGGACAACAGGGGGCTGCGGGTCGGGACTGAGGGGCACCAGCAGAACTGTGGGGGCGGGGTGGGAGTGCTGCGAGAGATCCTGGCCTCCACACCCCTTTCCTCCCCAGCTGCTTGGGTAACTGGAGGTTGGGGAAGGGGGGAGGAAGCAGAGGGCAAGTGAACGTTATCAAGAGGACAGATTAGGCCCCCCCAGCCCCATACGCATGGCTATGTGGGACTCACCACAACCTCCCCACTCTCATCCGCCGGGGTGGGCACAGGACGGGCACTGGTGGGCAGCGCTAGCAGCGAGAGCATCAGTACTGCCTGTGCCAAGATGGGGGGTGTCGTCGTCTCTCGCCGGAGCTCCGGGCGGCGCTGCTGCTCCATGGGGTGTTTGCCGGGCAGAAGCGCTTCTCCAGCCTCCATGCGCCTCCCGCACCGGGCCTGGTCTGCAGGGCGGAGAGCCCTGATCCGTGATGGGGGCTTCTCGAAGCTCCCAATCTTGGTAGCTTTATCTGCCAAGTCTGGACCGGGGAGCTGGAATCCCTGCTGCCTGGAGCCTCGGCGTGGGCATCGGGATCCGGGACACCAACATCTCTGCAGCTACAGCCGGCCTCCTGCATCAGAGATGGCACCGATAGACCCAGCTGAGAGCCCTGCTCAGCTGGGGAGTGTCCAGGGACCATGCTTGAGCTCCAGTGATGTGAGATTGAGTGGGCAGCAGAGCCAGCCCTGGGGAACGCAGGGGTCGGGACCGGCTCCGTGTGGGATTTGCTCAGACCCAACGAGCACGTGGAAGCAGCAGGGCACTGGGACCCCAAACCGAGAGCACCCCCAAGCAGCCAGGCACCGTGCCAGCGAGTGGCACCAGCAGCAGCCCACTGGGGGGCTAGTGAGCTGGTACAGGTAGAATTGCTAGTCCGGGGCCAGGCTGCACATTGACAGCCAGGCCTGGGAGATGCCGGGTACGTGACACCAGCCCACAGGGGCAGCTGCCACTGCAGCAGGGTGTGGCAGACTCCACAGCCCGGCACACGGGACACCCCACCTCCAGCGTCCCCAGCTTGGTGTTTGCCTGCTTGGAGTGAGGGGAAATGGGGTGTAACTAGAACAGGTGCCGCATTCCACCAGACACCCCCCACCACCCCTCCGCTGCCACCCACCTCTGCAAACTCCAGGACACTTTCCACGAGCTGGGGACACCCCCCTCCAAGGCTGGGAGACCTCCACAACTGGCCTTACTTTCTACCCCCTTTTGACAGGAAAGAAACCCCAAGCTTGTAACTGGGCAGGAAGCCGGCTTGTCATCCCGGGACAGCCCCAATTCCTACATTCCCGCCCCCCAGGCCTGCATGCCCGGCTCCTGGCATACCTCACCCCACCATGCTGCAGCATGGGCCGAGGGATGTGCCGGGCATCCCAGATGCTGCAGGGCGGGGCTGTGTTGGTCCAGGAATGGGAGCTGGTCCCCCACTCCCAGGGAGCAGGGTGGGTGACTCAGTAGTGGACACTCTGCCCTCTGAGTTGGCGCTGACCCCACTGCCACAGTGCTGGGCTAGGGGGCACGGGTGACTCATTAGGAATAATACATAGCGGGGGTGCTCTCCCCTCTGAGTCAGCGCTGGCCCCAGTGGCCCCACACAATGAGGAGGGGATGCTGCACTGCAGGGGGTGGGGAAGGCCCTTCAGCCTGGGAGTGGGGCAGGGGGGCTGGAACAATTTGTAGAGTGGGGGTGCTGAGAGCCATTGATCCAAACCGTGAACTCTGTATACCATGGAAACCACTTCCAGCCAGGGGGCACAGCCACACCCCTTGTTCTGGCACCCCCACTTCCTGGTGCTGCAGGAGAAGCCGGCTTCCAAAACTGAAGTTCTGAACCCCCCGCCCTCCCCCGTTGCTGTGCATGGGGAAAGGGCTGTGAGGCTCCACCCCAGACACAGCTGCATCTAAGGAAGGAAGGACGTGTGGGGGTGTAGTCATTAGCTAACACGGAGGTTCTCAGGCTGGGGGCTTGCGGCTAATTTCTTACTCTCAGTTGCTACGTCTCATGACAGACTGTCCTGTTGTAGGCCGGACTGAGAGCAGGGTTGTGCCAGGCGCTGTACAGACATGCAGCAAGAGATAGGGAGCAGGGTTGCTCTGTCACTGCCATGGAGGGCGGGTCGTAGGCAGTGACAGAGCACGCTCTGTCGGGGTGGGGAAGGGGTTGGAGGGTCCCGCTGTGGCTGGGCATGTGGCCTCCCCCCTCACTCACCTGGTCCCGAGGCTGCAGCCGGGCTCCCCCAGGGCGCCCCCGTGGGCAGGGTCCCGTTCCGCTCGCCGCCTGTAGCGGCTACCCGTCCCCTATCCTGGGGCCGGCCAAGCTCCCCATGCGCCTTCCCCGGAGCCGCGCCCCCAGCGCCTCGCCAAAGCGCCCTGCGCCCGCGGGCGGCGTTTGGAACCGGTCCGCGCCCTGCTGCCAGGGGCTCGGCTTCCCCTTCTCAGCTCCGCTCCGGCGGGGATCGCCCCAGCCCTGCGTCCTTCCCCGGGGCTGAGGCTCATCCCGGGACTCTCTGTCCCGCACCAGCCTGTCCAGCCGCTCGCCAGCGCGGGTGGACGGAGCTACGGGGGAGGGCGTGGGCCGGCTGGGAGGAAGTGAGTGTCCGGGAACGGCTTAAAGGGACACTCCCCCCGTCTTCTCTCCATGGGGCTGCCCTAACCCAAACTTGCTTCACAACCAACGGGGCCCGCCAGGGAGGGTCACCTGCTTTCAGCAGACACCGAGCGAGGAGCCATCGTGTGCGAGTGGGCGCAGGTGTGGATGTGGGTGTGTGCAGGATGGTGAGTGTGCAGGTGTGCGTGTCTGTGTCTGTGTGTACACCTGGGTATTAGCCAGGAGGGTGAGGACATGAAGACGCAGCTGTCTAAACCCCCAGAAACCCAGGGCAGTGATCCGTGGATGCCTGGGTGGGGTCCTGGGGTAGGTGCCAGAACTAGGCATGCAGGGGGTGCAGCAGCAGCACCCCCTGGCTTGAAGTGGTTTCCGTCATAGGCAGGGTTTACAGTGGGGTTCAGTGGCTGTCCGCACCCCCACTCTACAAATTGCTCCAGCAGCCCTGGGGCTTCGGTTAGGCCTGGAGAAGGCTGTAGGGGTGACAGTGGGGAGTCCCTGCTGGGGAGGAATGGGGGCTGTGTCCTGGCAAGACAGTGAGTCTCACCCGAGACACCAGCTTTTGCCAGAGCGGAGAAAATCTAGCTGGAGCCTTAAGAAATCTTAACAGCTCTGACTGCACCTTGGGTGAGGGGACAAGTTCCCGAGGGAGGGGGTGGAACTAGCCTCCTGGGGAAACACAAGGCTCTGACTGGAGCTTGTCGATCAGGGATGGGTTATGAGACAACAAAGTCAATGCTGTGCTGATGAGGGGGGGGTGGCCCATGTCCCACAGGGGGTCCCTTCCCATTGGCAGGAGTCTAGGATTCTCTGGCTAGGATTCTGAGCTGTGAGGAGAGGCACTGCCCCAGGAAAGTCTGGTCTCGTTATTCAGAGAGCTCGCAGACCCCGAGCTTGTATCCAGACTGGAGGTCTCTTTCTAAAAGAGCCGCTCTACCTCATCCAAGAGTTGGTGAGTCGGATGCAGCAGTCACTGGGGAGGGTCTCCGGCCTGGGTTATGCAGGAGCTCAAACTGCACGATCCCAGTGGTCCCTGCTGGCCTGGAAATCTGTGAAATGGGGAGAAACACGGCTGTGAGGATTGGAAAGCATTTGTCCGCCTCTGCCCGGGCAGGTTGTGGTTGGAGAATCCCAGTGAGGTCTGGGGAAACTCTACAATATCCCCTTGTCCCTCTAGGAGGCAGTGCTTGATTTGATGGCCAGTTTCACTCTCTTCAAGCCCCAGCTCCTGGAGTCAGGTGGTCATGTAGGAATCTCAGCTTTCCTTTTTTTAAAAGACGTTCCTAGCTCTCCGGATTGCAGAGGAACATTTGACCCCGACAGGCGCGTAACCCAACGGTCAACAGAAAGACCCTGACACTTAGTGATTATTTTTTAAAAATTGCCTGTGTTTTGAGCCAATCCCGGGATTGTTTTGCTGCCCGACTCATGATTTGGGGCTGGCCAGGACAGAGAGCAGTTCTGGTGTCGATCAGAGCCAAGTGTGAACCCATCCTAGCCGGGAGATCCTGATCTGAGAGGGAGATGGGGATGATTCTGCCCTGCTCTGCGATCGGGGGCACATTCCCGCTGTGAGTGATGGCAACTCCCTAGCCCCCAGCTACTTGCACTAATGGGAACGGATTTCCCCTTGGACTGATCAATACCTTGTCTCTGCTCTTGGCACTGCCAGGCTGCCTGGTCCCCTGCCCTCCTCCTCCCCTTCCCTAGACAGCTCCCAGATGAAATGAGGACAGTCCCTATAGGTTCTCCCACACGCCAGGGGCGTGCCTCTCCTGGCCCTGTTGAGTGGACCCCAGCGATTGTAACATTTGGGGACCCTGCGAGAGGCTGCACGGGGGTCCTATGACTCAGGAAGCCCAGGCTTCAGGGCTGCTATATTGGGCCCTGGGGGTCGAGCGGAGTCCCACCAGTTTCCCTGCAGGAACAAAGGGAGCCAACAATGCAGCCATTAATCTGCTCCCGGGCGCCTTCTGCCCGGCTGGGCTGGAGGTCGTTCCCCTGGTTACGTGGACTATGAGGGCATTGTGTCTCACTGGGGATTTCCGTAAAAAACAACCCAACAAAAAATCAACCTCAACTGAGTGTCATGGAAACCGGGAAAGGCTCTTCCCTGCCCCATCCAGGATAGGGGGTTCCTCTGGGGAGGAGGCCATCACCAAGGAGCAATGGGGGGTCCCTCCAGGGCAGGAGGCACAGGGGGAGCTAATGGAGGCCCAATGGAAGATCCCTACATGTGACCCATTCGAAAGCAGGTCAGCGATCTGGCTCCGAGGCTGCTCCTGGCACCGGCACTGATCCGAAACGTCCAGGCCACCAGGAACAAAGAAGGGGACAGGGTGGGGGGAGCTTGCGGGGGCGGCAGCCTGGACCTGGGACAGAACAGCTGCTGGGCTGTATCTCCCAGCAGGCATTTGTTTCCCTTGCTTTCTTTTTCTTTCCCTGCTCTATGCTTCTCATTCTCCGCCTCTTCCCCTTCTCTGGGGTGCATCCCTCCAGGGTCCCACTGCCCCTTGGTACAATCCTCCCCCCGAGTTACTATACACCCCCTCCTGTTATGATACCCCCACCCCACAGAGCTAGAGCAATGCATATCATAGCATAGTCACACCGCTCTCAGTTTACCCTGCTTCCAGAGCTTTGCTCCTGCCGGAGGTTACCAACGTGAGCCGGCCGGAGCCGAGCCAGCTTCAAACCGTCCACACATGCAGTAGCGAGTGGTTTAGCTAGCGTGGTTGCAGGTGGCACCTAAGGGATGGAGCAGGCCCCATTGCCTCCTGGGAGAGGTGAGAGAAAGGGGCCGGGGTGCAGGTGTGAGGGCAGGGGGTGGAGGAGAGGTAGAGCAAAGGCAGCAGGTATGGCAGAGAGACAAGGGAGGGGAAGGCAGAGGGGTGTCAAGGAGAGAGATGTACGGGGGCAGCAGGGACATGTGAGGGTCAGCAGGGAGAGGAGGGGGCTGCAGGGATACGTGACATGGCAGCAGGAAGAGCAGGGGGCACTGGAGCTATGTGAGGGGGTGGCAGGAAGTGGAGGGGTGGCAGGGATATGTGAGGGGGTGGCAGGGATGCGTGAGGGGCGGCAGGGAGAGGAGAGGCGGCGGGGATACATGGGGGGTGGCAGGGAGAGGATGGGGCAGCAGGGAGAGCAGGGGTGGCAGGGATACGTGAGGGG